GGACACTCAGCCCATCAAGTCTAAGCGGTTCTTTGTAGATCTATCCACAAACACAGGCCTGGATTTTCACACAGAGTTGTGGGGACACTGTAGAATATCCATCCTAAACCATTTTTGCCAGGCATAGTGGGGTGGTGGAGGAGAGGGATGTTTGGGGGATGCGGGGGGTGGGATGGTGAGTAGGAAGAGATAAATTAGCCCTGAACTCAGCTGAGACCATATAAACTTCTTGCACAGTACCTTCCAAACCTTTGACTTCTGCTATCTAAAAAGGCAAGCAGGTACAAGGGAACACCAGCGCCTGTGAGTTCCCCTCCAAGTCAGACACTATTCTAACTTGGAAATATATCACCATTCTTTCATTGTCACTGAGTCAAAAGATGGAACTCTTTCTAACAGCAATGAGGGCTTATCATGGACTGCCCCCAGTGGTTCAAGAAGGCAGTTCCCTACCACCTTCTTGAAGGTGAGCAATAAATACAGGCCCTGCCAGCAATGCTCACATTCTGTAAATGATTTTTAAAAAATCTCAGTACTGAGTTCAAACAGGTCTAATTTCTCCTGGAACAAAGGTTTCATCCTGCACTTTGGCAATTACAACCTCGTGGAGAGGTTACAAAGACTATTGAAGTACAGATAAGGCCTGGAGAATTTTAAGATGTTGAATTATTTACAAGGATATCCCTCTAAAAATTAAAAAAAAAGCCAATATGTTTCTGTGTGACTTAAAAAACATATGATTCCCTTAGGTGCTTTCTGCAACTCATCCTTATCACACAGAAAGCTGTATGTTCATAATTTTATTTGCAACTCAAAGAGGTTATTAGGGGAATAGCTGTCTTTGATTTGGAATTATGAATACAAATGTTTGCTTTTATAGGGCAACAAGACTTGAGGGATTTAAACATATTGATTGAGCTTTGATGAAATGGTGTTTTTTAAAATATAATGAAGTCTGTAGCAGATATTTAGAACTGCCAGAGTTAACAGCTCCCAGCTCTCAAGAGAGAATCACTGGCTCTCACAGTCTTCTCTAAGTCTTAGAGAACGCACCATCTAAATCAAAGGTACCAACGGCACAACTAGGTAATAGACCAGACAGGAGAATTGACAGAGAATGTGTTCCTGACAGAACATTCGACAAAGAACGCACAGAACGTGTCTGGAAGACACGTAAACTGGCTGTAATTTTGACGGACTAAATTCAACTTTTTTTTATTTTATTTTTATAAGTGGGACTTGTATATATTGGAACAGCATACTATTAGAATCTTGTTTTATTTGGAAATAGTTAGCAGACAAGTGAATGAACTTAATAGTTTCTCTGGTGGCTGCTTCAGAAATCTGTCTTATTATCATCAATTACTCTATGCCCACTTTAATTGGAAAATAGTTAATTACCCTTTGGCATTGCAAAAAATCAAAGATCATATTTCACCTTCCTGTTTTTAATTAATTCAGGGGAGTGGCCATAACCAGCTAGGTGAGGATTTATTGCCCATCCCTAGTTGACCTTGAGAAGGTAGTGGTGAGCTGCCTTCTTGAACCACTGCTGTTCATTTGGTGTAGGTAAGCCTACAGTGTTGGTTGGGTGTTTCAAGGTTCTGATTTGATGTTTGCACTTCTGAATTGCTAACAAAGAGCTGGCAAGAATTGGTATCAGTTCAACACGGTTGACAGATTTACCAAATGCCCCAGTGCTGACACCATTGCTCCCACAGTCAATTAGAAATTTATCTTGTTCTTTCAGGACATTGTCAACATCTTATCTAATGAACTTGGTCATTAAACAGCTCCTCTAATTTACAAGGTCACATAGCATCTGAAAAATACTCTGGTTACTATCAAATAACTTAGACAACTGTGACAATACTATCATTTTTAGAGATGTATTCTGTCCTTTCTTTTGAAGAGCGGTTTTGAGCCACAGGCGATGAGCTGTCTCCTCCAAGCCAATAAAGTAAATGGCTCATGAGGCCTTGGATCTTTTTTAAAATTTGTAACAACAGAAGCAGCATGAATCGGTGAAGTCAGTTTATGTTTTAGTTTTTAGTTTAGCTTTCAGTAGTTGTTGGAGTTTTGAAGCTCCCTGCTTGCTACAGCAAAATGTTTGAGTTCTCTCTCTCTGCCACAATTCTCTTTCGATATTCTTTCCTCCTGTGAAACATTGCACGTGAGACATTTTTTTTTTCTGAATGTGCCTTTGCCAAGGGTACATTTATAGGACGTTACTATATTGAAACAGTTGCTGTTTAGCAGATAAATGATCAATTATTCTGTTAAGTTTTCCAGTAGAGTTAAAGTCATACCAATTCTTCTTTCTTTTGTCTGTATTTTAACTGGAGGTAAGAATAAAATGTGCTTTGCTTGAAGCTGAGTAGCATGACCAATTACATCTGGAATTACATCTGGAATACAGCACCTTACACTTGTCTTCAAATAAGATACAAGTTAGGATCTAGGCTATCTCCTTGATATATTTGCAGGGAGTTTGGTCTGTTTTATAACACATCATAACAGCTTTTGATAACAATATAAATCTCGGTAGTACAGAACCTGAGTATTTCTGAAAAAAGAGCAATCTTGTTGAAGGTTTACATCTTACATGCATCAGGATAGAATTGCAAAAATTCCAATCTCAAAGGGAACCATAAGAAATAGGAACAGAACAAGGCCATTCGGCCACTCAAGGCTGCTCCGCCATTCAATAGGATCATGGCTGATCCGACATTCCTTGGGCATTTCCTGCCCTATACCCATAACTCTTGATTCTCCTATCAAGAATCTATCTCAACCTTCAATATACACAAGGAGTCTGCCCCCACTGTTCTCTGTGGCATTGAGTTCCAAAGACTCACAACTTTCGAGAGAAGAAGTTCCTCCTCATCTCAGTCTTAAATTGGCACCACTTTATTCTGAGACTATGCCCCCTGGTCCTAGACTCTCCCATGAGGGTAGACATCTTGTCAGCATTTAGCTCCTTAAGAAGCTTGTATGTTTCAATGAGATCACCTCTCATTCTTCTAAATTCCAGTGAGTAGAGTCCCAAACTGTTTTGACTTTGCTTATAAGACAATCCCTCCATTCCAGGGATCATCCTAGTGAATCTTCTCTGAACTGCCTTCAATGAAATTATATCCTTCCTTAAATAAGAGATCAAAACTGCTCACAGTACTTCACTTTGTACAGTTGCAGTAAGGCTTCCTTACCCTTCAAACCCCTTGAAATAAGGGCCAATATTCCATTAGCTTTTCTGATTACCTACTGTGCCTCTGTGCTCGCTTTCTGTGCTTCACGTACAAGTATCTCTTTGTGTTGTAGCTTTCTGCAGTTTATCTCCATTTAAATAGTATGTTCATTAGTTCTCCCTTACAATACGAATAACTTCACATTTTGCCACATTGTACTCCTTTTGCCACTAACTTAACCTATCAAATTCTCTCTGCAAACTGTATCCATCTTGCAACTTGCCTTTCCACCTACAAGTAAACAGCAACTGAATGAGAAGAGGATGCTGATTGTTTAGCAAGTTGACTCTGATTTGGTCAAGGCCTTGGTATATGGAATGCATCAGGAAATCCTGTTCCATAAATATTTGTTTAATTGGAGTGGCACAATGTGTGGACATGTACTTTTTGGTTGTGACTTCTAGTGCACTGAAGTGAACCACAATATGAGCCTGACTGATAATCTTAAACCACTTGTTAACATGATTCGTAGCACAACCAGGGGGTTTAATCAGTGTTTTGGTATTTCTGAATTTGTCCTGATGAGCGCAGGACTGAAAGCTTTGAAAGCATTTCTCTTTCTCAAAAATACATAATATTTTTAGAAAAGTACCTTTATAACAAGAAACAATATTCTCCTAAATAGCCAAAGTGGTGTTCATGGTACAAAAGTGGTTTTTTTGATGGGAGGTTTGGAAGACACAAAATGACAAATGTTTAAAATTCTGGGCACTGTTCATGTTTGAAAAAGTCAATAAAAGGAAGAGGGGGAATGATACAAAAGATCATGGCTATGAAGGACTAGGGCATGCGTTGAACCCTAATATGTAGCAGAAGAGATACAGAGTTTGGTTCACAGTTGAATGACCAGTTGGTAGTCATCAGAATAAATGAAATCTCAGGATTTTGAACTTTTACATCCTTAAAGAGCAGTCTGTCAATGGGTGAAGGAGATGTTCCTTCAGAACAATCACTGGAGGTACTAGGGTCTCCATACCAACTTTATGCCTGCTTAAACTTCAGCCCATGAATTACTCACACCAAATAGAAAGTCAGTGTGGATCAACAGCTTGGATTCTGTAGCCTGGCAACACATTGTAGACCCAATTTGAGCTGGGGCCATGTGAATCAGAATGTGGGCTTCACTCACAGATTTAGCAGAGTAAATCCTGGGATCAAGCCATGGAATCTGAATCAACGAATATAACAGCAGTTTATGAAAGTGCCAACTCTCGACTGATTCATCATGGAAGTATTTAGGCTTGGGATTTAACTTAGAAAATTGTAGAATGTCAAAGGGTGAGACTGCCCATGACTAATAGGAAAAATTCCTGCTTAGAAATTCTGACTGGTTCTGGAGATCCATTGGAATATTACTATGGGAGGGGGAAGTTTCAAAGTGATTCAGTTGGAAAACCACACTACTACCTCAAGTTGGGGAAATGTATTCTTGTTTTCTCCTCCCATTACCACCACACTTGTCTGCTTTGGAAGCAGCATCAGCTAGGTAATACAGTGCACATATTAATAACAGATTGACTTGAGCAACCAAACACAAAGGCAGAATACTGCCAATGCTAGAAATCTAACAGTAAAAAAGGTTGTCTGAGCCTTGCCTGTGTAAAGTGGAAACAGCATGGCTCAAAAAACCAGGAACAATGAGTAGAAATGGAGAGGATCAAGGGGAGTTAGAATGTTCACAATGTGCAAACTCTTGGATGGTGCTGAAAAATGGAGCAACTTTTCGAACAGCAGGAATACACATGAACTTACTCTGGATATAGTCAGGGGCATGTTGAAATCCTTTCCTCCCTGCAGTCTGAAGCCCCAAGGTGCAGGGCCATTGAGAGACACATTATAGGTTGACATCCTTCACTCTCCCAGCAGCCACTCGAGCCGCTACTTGAGAAGGGGTCAGCAATGAGGGAGAGAAAAAGACAAGAAAAGTCTGTGAATAAAGTGTAACAATTGAAACAAAGCATCAAAAACTTTTGCCAATTGAGAGGAGGCACTGGAGTGCCTCCCAAGAATAGTAACAAGTGGTCATACAGGGACATATGTGAGCCATATATGGACTGTAACAGAACACCCAAAATACCAGGATTGTGTGACTCACAGCACCAATATAGGTCACTGTCACATCAATTTTTCCAGGTTCCTTCAACTTCTCAAATCTATTCAGAACTCTTACAAACTAAAAAGTGGATAACGACAGACCATTCAAAAAATGGTGCACTTAATCTTATCAAGTAGAGTTTTGTTTGGGACCACGTATTTTAACAGATATCCATGCAAATCTTTCAATATTAGACTGTAGCATTGCTTTAACATAATTCTATTTTTAAAAAGGATGTCTGGTGTAACATTTTTGAATATCAATAAATAAATTTCAGGTTACTGTATATGTTTAGTAACATAGTAAATAAAACGATTCAACACGTGTTAAGAACTTGAAAATCTCGGCAGGGTACTATTTATTTTAGAGGGGATTAAAATATATGATATGCAGACCCCCCCCCCCACCCCTTTCTAGCACCGTTTCAGAGTTCAACAGCCAAGTGTTGCAATCAATTCTCAGCGACTGCAGGGAAAATTCCCTCCATTTCATGCCATTAACCGCTCCAGCAACACAGCTCGGAAACATCCCTTTAATGTTTTTCTCCCAAAAGAAAGAACACATTTCCATCCATTCTGGAGACCCACCACTTTAACCCCTTCGGGGATTCAATATCACAAGCAATGACTTTTAAGAAGGGCAAAACTTTGCAAGTTAAAAAGGGGCATCATTTTTTCTCCCAGTCTGTAGGAAGGAGTTAGTTTGGGAGAATTATCACTTGCTAGCGTTAATGAGCAATGAGAAGTCGGTAGCTTCTCAAATACTAAATATCTGGAAACACATCTAGTACAAACCACGGGGGGAGGGGCGTGTATGCAATAAAGCTGGTCGATTTTGACCACTTTATGACCTGAGTTTCCCCCGCTTCTCTTCAACCAACCTTTTGACCTGCTACAAGTCAAAAACCTATTAAATGTAGCTAGCTGCTGCGCCCTCCTTTCTCAAGCACGCGTAGCCGGGGCTGCAAACAAAACAAACTGCATTGGGTGAGATGAAAGGAGAAAGCGATCTTTTGGTATACCTGGTCGCTGCTGTTCGCCTCGGTCCTCTGAAGCGAAGCAGCGGAGTATCAGGAAGCACATTTATCAGCTGCCAGCCCCGGGCATGACGTTAACTGATGGGTCTGAACAGCCGGTTAGCGAGCCACTGAGGGTGGGGGATAGGGAGGGAGACATTTAACAAAGAGTTTGGGATTGGGACAATGTCCAGAATTCCTCTGGCACAGACCCCCGGGAACAATGAAACAGGGAGCAAAGACACCTTAATTTTCAGCTCTGCAACAGCTTCAACCGGTGTTTCCAAACGTGGATTGCAATGGCAAATGTTGCGTTAAATCTTTTACTAAACCTCTTGATTCTTAAACAATGATGTGTATTAGGGAATCACATGCTGAAAGGTGGTTTGGCTATGAAATATTTAGGGGTTGGGGTTGTGAATGATATTTTTACCTAGTAGTAAATTGGATTGAAATTTAAAACAGGGCAGCAGAAAATAAGAGCAACCTCTGTCCTATTTATTAACATTCCTGTAACGACAATCTGTTTTCCGTGCTGGGAGTAGTTTGTATGAGACGTGTCGTTTGATACGACACAAGACTCACCCTCAGGTTGGTTTGGTACGGTGAAGATCTGCTTTCAACTTGGACTATGTGTGAGATGAATCCCTTGATGTGTTGAAAGCCTTGAACCTCAGCAGGAGATTTCTTAAACACATCATTGAATCACAGAATTTTACTGTAGTAGGAGGAGGCCATTCGGACATAATATTATGCCGGCTATCTGAGCATTTTGACTCAATGCCAAACTCCCGTCTCAACCCTGCATGTTGTTTCTATTTAAATAACTATCCAGTACCCTCTCGAAATCCTTAATGGAATCTGCCTCCACTACATTTCCAGGCAGTGCATCCCATACCCTAACCACTTAGTGTGAAAAGGATTTGTTTCTCTCCATTTCTTTTGAGAAACTGGCTTAAAACCACAACCAATGGCTCTTGATCTATTTACAAGCGGGAACAGTTTCTCTGCCCAAATCCCTTGTGATTTTGAAAACTATCAAATCTCCCCGCAGCTTTCTCCTGTCCAGGGAGAACTGTCCCAATAAAATTGAAAGAACTGCGGAAGCTGTTGATCAGGAACATAAACAGAAGTTGCTGGAAAAGGTCAGCAGGTCTGGCAGCATCTGTGAAGAAAAAAAAATCAGAGTTAACGTTTCGGGTTTGGTGACCCTTCCTCAAATTACGTTAACTCTGATTTTTTTCTTCACAGATGCTGCCAGACCTGCTGAGCTTTTCCAGAGCTGTCCCAATCTATTCGCATAACTAAAAACGACAAATACTGGAGATCACAGCGGGTCTGGCAGCATCAGAGGAGCCGGAAAGTTGACATTTCAGGTCGGGACCCTTCTTCAGTTCGGACTATCTCTTCAACACAGCTGACGTAGTGTGAAAGGGGTGGCATTAATGCTATTGTAGGGGGGAGGGTTGGCATGTAGAGTGCTGGGGGAGAAAAGATGTTGATAGTTCAGTGATGGGAATGTGAGAATGGCAGAACAATGGTGTGTCTAACTGCCAGACTTGAAAGAGCAGACATTCCCACTGGGGTTGGGATTGGGAGAGAGAGGACACGGTGATAGAGAATGTAACAGGTAAAGCTAAAAGAAAGGGAAGGAATTGGAGTTGGTTCACAGTTTGGAGGTGTTAAATTCAATATTAAGTCCGGAAGGTTGTAAAGTGCCTAGTCCAAAGATGAGATGTTCTTCCTCCAGTTTGCGCTACAATTCACTGGAGCATTACAGTGTGTGGAGGACAGACAAGTGGGCCTATCCTACACTGGAGAAACCAAACACAGATTGGGTGACTGCTTGGCAGAACACCTCCAGTCTGTATACAAGCAGGACCCTGATCTTCCTGTAGTCAGTCATTTTAACACAGTGTCCTGCTCACATTCCCACTTGTCTGTCATTGGCATGCTGCAGAGCTACAGCGAATCACAGCCCACACTGGATGAATGGTATCTCATCTTCGGACTGGGCACTTCACAACCTTCATGACTTAATATTGAGCTCAACATCTTCAAATTGTGAACCAACTCCCATTCCTTCCCTTTCTTTTATCTTTACTTGTTACATTGGTTGGCACTGGTTGCCAAATTCTGAATGAACACCATCTATGATTTTGGAAGGATGGATATCAAACAACAGAGTGGAAATGCGGAAAGGAGATAGAGGGCTTGGTGACATGGTGTAATGAAAACAACCTCTCTCTCAAAGTCAGCAAAACTAAAGAACTGATCATTGACTTCAGAGAGAAAGGAGGAGAAAACACCCTCATCTATGTCAATTGAGCTGAGAGATTGCAGTTTTATCATAGAATCTCTACAGTGTGGAAACAGGCCCTTTGTCCCAACAAGTCCACTCCAAACCTCAGAGCATCCCACCCAGACCCATCCCCTTATAACCTACACATCCCTGAACACTACAGGCAATTTAGCATGGCCAATCCACCTAACCTGCACATCTTTGGACTGTGGGAGGAAACCAATGCAGCCACTGGGAGATTGTGCAAACTCCACACAGACAGTTGCCCAAGGCTGGAATCAAACCCGGGTCCCCGGGACTGTGAGGAGCAGTGCTAACCACTGTGCTACCATGCTGCCCTTGAGAGGGTGGACAGCATCAAGTTCCTAGGAGTGACGATAACCAAAAACCTGTCTTCCCACATAGATGAGATGGAAAGCTTACTGTCTAGGTGCATAACAGCCTCTCTAACTTCAAATATTGCAGATCTTGCTAATGTTGATCTTGCCGAACACACGCTCTGTGCAAAGTAACTTGTATGCCTCTGTCTAGTTGTTTTTCATCATATGATCTGTATGTCCTTGCTTACTATGATCTGCCTGTACTGCTTGTAAACAAAGCTTTTCACTGTACTTAGGTACACGTGATAATAAATCAATCAAATCAAACATTCTCTGTCACCATGCTCTCTCTCCCCTCCCCCAACCCCCACCCCAGTGGGGACTGTCTGTTCTTCCCAGTCTGGCAGTTAAACACACCATTGTTCTGCCATTCTCACATTCTGATCACTTAATCTGCACTATCAACATCCTTTCTCCCCCAGCACACTACACTCTAACCTCTGCACCAACCCCCCAACCCGACCTATCGCATAAAATCTACGCCTGCCACACTTCACATCAGCTCTGATGAAGAGTCATCTAGACTCAAAACATTAACTGGCTCGCTCTCCATGGATGCTGCCTGACCCGCTGTAATCTTCAGCATTTGTTGTTTTCAGTACAGATTCCAGCATCTGCAGTAATTTGCTCCTAGATTGTGTATCCTCATAACTACATGTCTCATCCCTGGAACCATTTTCTACATTTTCTCCAATGCATGCGCACTCTTCCTATAGTGTGACATCCAGAAATGTACACAATATTCCAGCTGAGGCCAGACTAGTGTCCTACATATATTCTTCACCTGACAAAGGAGCTGTGCTCCAAAAGCTTGTGATTTCACATAAACCTTTTGGACTACGACTTGATGTCGTGTAACTTCTGACCTTGTCCACCCCCATACAAGATCAGCACCTCCACATCATGGCCACATATATTCTACACAACATCCCTCCTCTTGTTTTCTGTCCCCCATTAATGAAACCTCGCACTGTATGCTTTATTAACAGCTCTCTCTGCCCGTCTTGCCGCATTTAATGACTTATGCATATGTAGACCCATGTCTCTCTGTTCCTT